GAAGACGACCGTGAAGTGTGTGAACGTTCAACCGGGGAATGTAAACGTGAGTAAATCCGGGAACATTACAACCACGAGCGAGATGCACGAGAGGAACTCTAAGTCACCTTCAGAGAACCAGAAAGTGAGTTACATGAACACACCAGATTCTAGCACTGTCAACGAGCGAGGCAAGAGTGACAACGCCAACATCGTCAGCAGTCGCAGGAGGGAGATATCACGAAGGCTCCGTCGGGTATTGGAGGTTACAAGGGGTGGCTGGAGCTTGGTGTGGCTCAGTGCCTTGGAAGTTGTGTTCCAAGCCATTCTCTATGTCTGCTGGCATTTGACGGGGGACCTGCAGTCTGACGGCGCCTCCCTACTGGAGAAAGCGATGTTCTTTGTTACTCATGCTAACATCACCTTCATTATCCGCTATCCACAGGTTTGTTTCAATCACTTCAGTCAACTTAACCCACTTAACAAATATAAAAAGCACATACGAGTATACTAAAGCCTTGGCAAATCAGTCTATCCCCACTGTCGACTTACCAGTGAACGTAAATGTTAAAATGTACCAACTTATGTCTGTTAACATACACAATAAACACTGGACGAAACCTAAGTTGTGCAGCCTATCAGCAGCCTATCCTCGTTACTAGATTTCTCAGGTAATAAACAAGTATACAGCATATACAAGTCAACACAATAAAGGACTTTGTGAGCTACTTGTACTATTTGATACCTCCCAGATGTAAGCAGTCATAAAACCCAATACAATTTTCCCTTAACATGGCAAAAAAAAAAAAAAAAAACGTCTATTGGTGTTTAGGAAAAAATCGAAAAAAAGGTCACGGAAAAAAGGAACAACTTTGGTTAGAATAATTCATAGGTTATAGACACGTTTTAAATTGTCTAAATAATGTTAGGTTAGGTTATATTAAGGATAGGGTAGGTTAAGGTTAGGTTATATTAAGGGTAGGGTAGGTTAAGGTTAGGTTAAGTTAGGCTAGGTTAGATAAAGTTAGGCTAGGTTAGACAAAATTACGCTAGGTTAAGATTAAAGTTAAACTAATGTTAGATAGGTTAGGTTAAGCAGCTTTGGATATTAATCTAAAAGTTTTCAGCTCCTGAAATTTGTTCGCGAGATTCTTGGGTTAAGTTCAGGTTATATTTGTCTAGAAATTGTTTGAAGATGTTTAAGATTTCGTGAACTTTTTCAGGGAATTTCAGAAATTTGTTCAGGATGTTTTAATGTTTCAGAAAAGGTTGTTTGCCATTTCAGATATTGTGGTTGATCTTCGGCACTTCTCTTCGGCACAAGTTCAAGGCCCTCAACGTAGCAGTCCGTGAAGCTACAAGTCTGTGTCCTTCACTTGGTCTTTCCACCCACCAAAAACCTTCCTCCTCACCAACTACTTTGTCTACCTTCCGAGACTATCCAACTAGCTCGACAACCTCCATAGGCAATAATCTTTCAGCAGTTCTAAATGATGATTGTGTGTCAGACTCGGCCACCTCGATCAGAGAACCCGTCGACTTTGAAAAACCTTTGCCGAATGACCAGACCCATGTCGATATCCCACGTGGTTTAACTCACACCAAAGCCACAAGTGATCTAACCAGCGTCGAAGTATATGATAACTCCCAGAACTACACCGAGGCTTCCAGACACTATGTTGTAAGTCTCGACTCTGTGACGAACGACTCGACCCATCCCGATGCAGTTATATGCGTCGACGTCTCCACTGACAACTTAACCCATTTCACAACTGGGGCAGAGGATCTCCGCCATGTGAGTGAGAGTCACACTGAACTGCGACGGCTCCTGAGAGCGATCGAGTCATCTCTTTCCTGTCCCCTGATGATCACTTCGGCTTACAACTTCACCACCGTGGTCATCTCGCTCCTCCACTCAATAATCCTGAAGAAGAAACTGGCATTGCAGGTGAGTGTTGAGCCTTTGAGTACGACTTTAAGGAGGTATTGTGCCTTTGAGTACGACTTTAAGGAGATATTGTGCCTTTGAGTACGACTTTAAGGAGATATTGTGCCTTTGAGTACGACCTTAGGGTGTTGTACCTTTATGCGAGTACGACTTTAGGAGATGTTGTACCTTTATGTGAGTACAATTTTAGGGATATACAGTATATTTCCCTCAGAGTTAACTGTATTTATAGTGATGAATTTAAGTTGAGGGTGAAAGTTAGAGGTCAGGTGTGAGGTTGGGGGTGAGAGTGAAAGGTTAAGGGTGAGGTTGTGAGGTTGAGGGTGAGAATGAGAGGTTAAGTGTGAGTTTAGGGATGAGATGAAGAGGTTGAGGGTGAGAATGAGAGGTCAGAGTAAGGTTATGAGGTCAAGGATGGGTATGAGGTTGGAAGTAAACGGTCAGGAGAGCGACTAACACCCCATCTTCTCCTGCAGGTGACGACGATGATACAGTGTGTCCTCGAGTTGGGTCTTCTATGGTACCAGGGCCACGTTGCCGATACCGTCAGGAAGGAGGTAGGTCGCGCGGGGCTCTAGAAGTCACACAAGAACTACCTAACCTAACCTAACCTAACCTAATTTCTGGTCACGTTTCAATAGCCAAATACCTGTGTTTCCTGATCTGACTGGTGGATGCTATTCTTAAGTGAGGGATATTTATTTTCCAGTGTGGTTTATCGAAGAAAATATAAAATTCTTGGTCAATTTTTTATTCCAGATGTGATGAGTCTACTCCGATGTTTAAACCTAAGCTAACCTACGCTAACCTAAGCTAGTATTTACATTAATCGAATTCTATCTCTTATTTTATTAACCTTAGGTAATATGCAGGAGGACTGGATCTCTCTCTCTCTCAGTGCATTAAATATCAATAATATATTCCGGGTTTCTCATTGACTGGTGACGTCACGAGGTCAGGCTCAAGTGATGCCATCTCTTCTACCTGACCTGGCTGAGGCGGTGACCTGGCCTGCCAAGATCACCCCAGGAGTCAGACAGCACCTGAAGGTCAGTAGGTAGATAACTAACCTAATGGACCACTGTCATAATAAGCTTAACCTAACCTAACCTAAGGTACCCAGCTTTAATTAACCATGGTTCTAATACACCCCAGTTCTAATACATCCTTAATCCTAATAGACTCCAGTCCTAGTATGCCCCCAACCTATTGAACTGTACCTATTAGGATTAGGAGCTAATTCCAATAGGCCTTGGGCTAAACACCGTAATCCTAGATCATAAACTTTCAATACAAAACTTGGCCCAAAAAAGATCACACGATCACGAAAACCAACTTAAGAAACTGTTCTCTTCCTCCGATCTACTTTTGTGCATCACGAGTTAAAAATAACGTTAACTGCTAAACTTGAGTTAATGTTAGATTAGTGGTCCTTAATCCTAGTTTCCAAGTTAAATTGATAGATTCAATCTTTTTTTCGACCACCTGTGACCAGCTGTTCTCTACCGTACAGCTGGTGTGGATGGAACAAGTCTCTCGTGGGGGTGTTCAGATAAGAGTCGGCGGCCTATTCTCCATCTCCCGGTCCAACACGCTGGCGGTAAGGTCATCCGAGGTCATGTAAGGTCATCTAGAGTCATGTGAGGTCATCTAAGGTCATGTGAGGTCATCTCGGGTCATTTGAAGTCATCTCGAGTCCTGTGAGGTCATCTCGGGTCTTGTGAGGTCATCTAGATGTAAAATCATCTATAATCATGTGAGCTCACATAGGAGCATGTAAAGCCATCCAGGGTCATGTAAGGTCATCCAGGGTCATGTGAGATCATCTAGGGTAACGTGAGTTCTTCTAGGGTCATGTGAGGTCATCTTGGATCATGTGAGGTCATCTTGGGTCATGTCTGACCATCTAAAAGTACAGTCATAACATTCTATCTATATGTCTGTCTGTCTGTCTGTCTGTCTGTCTGTCTCTTTCTCTTTCTCTCAATAAACAGACCAAATTTATACAGTTCCCATACTACACTAAGTCACCATCTGACTAACATATGACTATTTTCCCCCCAGATGATTGGAGCGACCAGCTGTTACCTGATGATTCTCATTCAGTTCCACATTGCTTCTCTGTAACCTTCCTCTTGCACCACCTGTCAGTTTTAGCTTTCCCCTTGCACCATCTGTCAGTTTTAGCTTTCCTCTTGTACCATCTGTCAGTTATAGCTTTCATCCTGCACCACCTGGCAGTTCTAGCTGAATCATCTTGCACCACCTGGCAGAATTTCTATTATAGTCAGCCTTTACGGATAGGTGGATAGGGTGTGGATAGGTCATGAGAGTGGATAGGGTGTGGATAGGTCATGAGAGTGGATAGGGTGTGGATAGGTCATGAGAGTGGATAGGGTGTGGATCTGTCATGAGTGGATAGAATGACCAAGTTACCAGGGAGACATTGTTCAGGGAAGTGGGTAGGGGAAGTGGGTAGGGGAAGTGGGTAGGGGAGGTGGGTAGGGGAGGTGGGTAGGGGAAGTGGGTAGGGGAAGTGGGTAGGGGAAGTGGGTAGGGGAAGTCAAACACCTGGTGGACGAACACAGAACTATTTAACAGGGTGACGAGCAGGACGTCTACCCTCATTATTATATCTGCCGTTTAAGTCCCTTCCGAGGTAGAAGTCCGTCGTGGTCGGAAGTGACGTCTGTTGATAGTGAAGTCTTTGTTAAGTGACGTCATCAGAGTACGTGACTACGACTATCTTCTCAGCAGGAGGGAGGTACGTTGAAACCTTGTTATCATATTGTGTGTCGAGACCTCATCTATTTGAACTAGTAGGATAGATAATTAATCAGACATATATACATGCATGGGTAAAGTGATATAATAAAAGTATATACAGTAAAAAGTTATGGGAGACAAGAATGTGTGTACACCCTTATATACAATGACTTTCATCGTTATTAATAAAAATCAAGAAACGCCTCTCATATGATAACAGGTATTGATAACGAGTGTTTGACAGCGTATCTCTGCACTATATCTTATCGGGGCTATGTGGAGCGTAACAAGAATATATATATACATATACGTATTTAATCTCATTCAGTTTGATTGTGTAAGTTCGTAGGTATAAATGGTCTGCTGTACGTCGCTAATACCCTCTCAACAGCACCACCTTCTGCCACGCTCTCTGCAACTCATCGCCTACAGCTACACCTTCGTCCCAGAACACTTTTTACATTACTGTTGTTATTGCACCACCTACAACACTGGTCATTACAACCGACTGTGGTGATCGACAACAACACTGCACCAACCTACGTCGCCTCTACATTGATGCAGCGAAAACAACGTCCACAACCATCACGGCCACAACCGTCACGGCCACAACCGTCACGGCCACAACCGTCACGGCCACAACCGTCACGGCCACAACCATCACGGCCACAACCATCACGTCCACAACAATCACGGCCACAACCATCAACCTCATTGAAATCGGATTTGGAGAAAATATATCATGCCAAGGTAGAACGAAAAGCATTAGAACCGCTGCACACCGGAATTTGGCAAATGTCGCTCAAAGTGTTTGTCGTATGGATGATATACAACCTGCCAGAGATATGGTACATTGTGTTGGTGTTGGGTTTTGTGTTGTTGTTTCGCATGATAACAAACAAGGAGAAGGAAATACAAGAGACTACACAAGTTAACCAGCCATCAAGTCCTGAGGAGCTGAAAGGTAGCTCCCAGCAGCTGCCATCTCAGGTAAGATATCTCGTGTGTTTGTTGTTCTTACCTCAGGATTATCAGTCTTATTGTAATTTAGTTCCATAATTGAAGACGAAGGGAAGCATTTAATAACAGAGTTTCGGTGTAATTTCTGCTCCTAACCTAACCTAACCTAACCTAACTTAACCTAACCTAACCTGACCTAACCTAACCTAACCACACCTAACCTGACCTAACCTGAATAGTAATAAGTGATACAAATTATTCACAATCTATTTCTCACTGCACAGCTTATCTATCAGGTGTGTGTCGTGTCAGGTGTTTCAGGAACGACTGTCTCACTAAGTCCTAAGTAACACTATATTATGCTCTGAGGATTACAGTAGTCTTAAATAGCTCTGTTGAAAGTAGACGTAGACGAGAGAAAAAAGTTACACATTAGATGGGGGAAAAGGCTGCAGCTCTGTTATCGTGATCAATCTTGGCTTATTTTCCATAGTATCAACGAACCTGTGAATGAGGCTCAAATGTTCACCTTATTATTTTATCACAGAAAATAATTATGTTTGATATTTTATGTCTTTTTCAGGTGGATTTGAGATATATGGAACGTGTGGAATGGATTAATACGGTGAGTGTTAGGTTACGTTTTAAAATCTCAGTGTGGTGATCATGTTGTAGTAATATCTCCTTTAGCCGGAATCCCTCAAACCCAGAACTCTTCGATAGCTGAAATTGATATTTTCTCGGAAAATCATTCCCAAAGCCGGAATTTTCCAGAAAATTATGGCTTTGGGATCGATTTTTCAAGGGGCAAAATTTCTGTAAAATTCCGAGAAAAATTTTCCGTTACCCGGAAAATTCCGGGGATGAGGAATTTTTTTGGAAAGAGTCATCTCGTTACCCGGTAATCCCTCATTCCCGGAAGTACTCTCCACCAAATGTTCCGGTTAATGGAGATATTTGTGTTACTGATAATATCTGGTATATAAGGGTATACTCCTACATCAGAAAGAGTTAGATAAGAGATAAAACCACAAGTAAGATAACCCATTTAATACATCACCAGTTCTTCACAAAACCTAAACTTCATCAATGTAATTTTTTCCTCATTTATTCCTGTAGATCATAAGTCAGATGTGGCCCTTTATTGGTGCTGGCATGAGAGACCGACTTAAACAGATCGTCAAGGAGAAATTTTACCTCTTCAAATTCCAATTCTCGGAGATTAGTGTTGGTTCTCAGAGGCCGAGGATCGTGGGCGTGAAGGTTTACAACAACACTCCACATGGTCAAGTTATCCTAGACGTGGCGTATGAGTGAGTTACTTTCAACCTGTGTTTAGTCACCTGTGTGGGGGTTGGTGTTTCAAGAGGCAAGACTGGCTGGCTTTGGCTAAACAGTACATCACTTGGTTTCATCTTGAAATATTATGAACTTAATGCTGTTGATGGATAAGAAACTGGCCATGTTATTTAAAGACCCAACACACATATCCTTGTCTTTTTCCAGATATAAAGGAGACTTTCAGTGTATAGCAAACATATCGGCGGGACTTGTCCTAAAGGTCGATGTTCTGACGATAGTAATCACCAGCTTGCAGGTAAAGTCACTACTAATTACTTTACTAATGATCTAAAACACCGTAGAATCACTATGAAGAATATACCTTTAACATTCATTAGTATTCAGTGTACTATATAATGTTTATTAATGACTATATACTCATAAAAATGTACCTACAGTGTTAATCTTGCAAATAAAATACTAACATACAGTATATCTGGTGCTAAGTGGTATGGTGGGCTTCAGTGTACAGTGTAGCGGCAGCAGCTATGGGTACGCTTGTGTTGTGTCCCACAGATCACAGGGAGTGTTCGAGTGGTGGTGGAGCCTCTGGTGACTCGTCCTCCATTCTTTGGGGGTTTACGTGTTGAGGGTATCAGCAGGCCAGAGGTGGACCTTCTGGTTTACGGTTTACCTGAGTGGTTAGATAAACTTAACGTCAGGTGAGGTGTAACACAGTATTGTATTGTTGTTTAACGTCAGGTGAGGTGTAACACAGTATTGTATTGTTGTTTTGACGTAAGTTTTCATTTTATTTATCCCCTTTCCATTTGTTTCGTCTGGTAAGTTTACTGTAAAGCACTCAAGCTTTAAGTATTTGTTCATAAGTAGGTAACAATAATATAAAGCACTTCACACGATAGTAAATAATATGGACACTCAAGTCTGGATAATGATATGCACTTGTGCGCTTGTCTTTGCTTATATGAACATTGGTGTCCGGTGGAAGGTGGTCGAGTGGGGGCAGCACTCGGTTCCTGTCACAAGAGTCGTTGGTTCAAGCCAAGGACACCCCCAGTTTACCCAGCTGTGAATGAGTACCTTCGGGAATCACTTTCACTTTTATATGTATATTACTTTTATTCTGACAGGGGTCAACTAATTGATTACATAAAAGATCTGATCGTGAAGGAGAGCAACATTGAGTATCGCGGCATCCCTTGGACATCAACCACACCACCAAGGGAGACGGTGAGTCCTACTTGGCCTTACACTTTAATGAAATCATAAAACTACATCATCATGTGTTACTCTTGTACCTGTTGCTCTGAATGACGTATACAGATCAATTTCTAATCTTTTTGCAGTTGCAGTATGATTGATTTCAACAGCGCTGGGAAGAGATTAGTAAAATCACCTTACACCAGGGAGTGACAGCATCCACAGTAGCTACACTGTGTTCTGTTTGAGAACTTTGTAAAGTAGTTAACAATTCTCTATGTCACTAATGACGGGTCTACCCGAGTAAGCCCTATGGTGTTCCTAAAGGTGGTCGAGAACAAAAACAATGTCAGGTCGAATATCAGTCGTCTTGATGCGATAAATAAGACAATATCTCATAATCTGTGATGATGTAACAGCTGGTATGAGCAAATGTATGGATATATGACATCGGACACTTGTAAGCGTTAGTGAGATTAAACCACGAGATTAACCCAATGAATATTGGACACTTCTACACAGATTTTTTACTACGTATTTATATCTAATTGAAATTAATATTGTTATTGTACTTTCACTAAGTTTAAGTCACTCGACCTGTACTATAAACCTAAACATGTGGTTGTCTATTTCCCAATAAACTGTATTTAACATTGACACCGGTTGTACTGTGAGTGTTCTCAACCTTTAATTGTTTGAACCATAGCGGTGTGTGTGCGTCAAGATCTGTCCTACGTGCAAATATGACAAATTTTGTGACAACAGCTACCGGTATGGCTAGCACAGGGACAAAACCAGACAATGTGATGATTAGTTGTAGCTAGAATTAAGCTAGGATACAGACACATCTGGCTAGTTAGTGACGCTGTACCCATACCGGAACACTCAACATGTAAACTTTGTGATAAACCTTTAAAGCACACACTTAAACATTATATTATTGACTGTGCCACTGTCCAAAGACTGCAGGCCACCAGGCTTGTTGTATCATGAACTATGTAACTATAGTACAACACTGAATCAGGAATCCTTGAGGACATTCGTGCAGTGTATCCTAAATTAACTAGTCCACACCGGTAGTCCCCAAATAGAATATAACACTACCTGTAATGAATATGGCCGATATTGTATTTGAAGCACTGTCCTGCGTGGCAGTGAACAGTGATAGCACTCTCAGTGCCAAGAGCTAACTGAACTATTCAGAATGGGTAAATTGTACTATAAGCTTTGTCAATAAAGTTGTTAAACTAAACAGTAAATGTGTGCAGATGTGGCTTGGTTTATAGTGACGATGAAACCACCACCACCTCCTGCGTGTACGACTCTGTCCTTCCGTATTACTGTAACTCTACTGCTTGTACCTAAAGATAACAAATACGTAAAAAAAAAAAAAGTTTAGTACTAAATACTACACTTGGTGAGGTATTACCTTAAGTGAGTAGAATTACGAGGTTTACTGAAGTTATCCTTAAATTGTCTCTGGTAAGGCTATTTTCTATGATCTTGGTTTACTTCACGCCCAGAAAACGACACTGTGAAGGATATCTTGGATAACTTGACACAACACTAACAACCCGAGTCATTAATAGTATATTTTACCCTGTGAATTTAACTATAACGATGAGACTCAAGACGTTTACAGCCATTTAAAAAGTTGGATCACGGCGTTCTATAAAACTGCTCCATCTAGGTAAGGTTAACCATCTAATCTCTTGTGGTTAACGGGATATATAATTAAATCTCCCTGTGGTTAGTTTAATATACATTATATACATGATTTATAATGATGGTTACAAGGTTAACAACGCTAAAATGTATTAATATGTATTGGATCTATGAATAAAAAATAAAATAAATACTGCCACCATGAGCAATGAATTCTTCCCAACACTTTAAAATGGATCCTTTAATAAATACCTCCAGAATACGGTCCTTTCTACTATACACCTTGTGAAGTCTTGTAATTCCTCGTCAGTCCTCCAATGGGATTTATTTTGCCATTAATGAAACACTCACCAAGACAGAGATTTTCGATTTTTGTTTAATATCTAAGAAACTACTACTGCTTTTGGGCAATAATTCTAACTTCTCTTTCAGTAAGTTGTAAATTTGACTTAAACGACTATTAGAAAAACATATATCATTAAGGTAGAAGGAAGTGATTGGTGTTCTTAATTACGTTGTTTGTGTGGGTGTTGAGGGTCTGGTATGGTATGATACAGGAATCCACCACAAACCACAGCTGAGGTTCTGACATAACATATGACACAGGACACCACAGGACGAAAATAAGGTTCTGATACAAGGCACACGTAAGGTTATGACACAAGATACGACACAAGGCACACGTAAGGTTCTGACACAAGATACAAGGCACACGTAAGGTTCTGACACAAGATACAAGGCACACTTAAGGTTCTGACTCAACATAACAGGAAGTTACAGTAAAGAGTACAAAAAAATCAATGTCTCACACACTCGCCCTCCCACCTCGGCCTCGAGCCAAGAATATAATTTTTCCGGCTACGCTTTCTGGAAAGTTTCTGGCAAAAAAGTTAAATGGCGTTTTGATGTTAAGCGTTACGCCACGTAGCTGACGAGTGAGTGCTGACACCAGCTGACACTGTTACTGACACATTGAATAGTCTCTGTCTGTATGTCTGTCTCTCATATAACCATGTAATTTCTCACTTTAAAAGCTTAGAAAGATAAAATTAATAACTCTTCCTTCACTACTCTAAATCCTTCAGTAAAAGAACAATTCTCATCATTTAAATACAAGTAAAATATTTCATAACCGAGGAGACTTTTTCTTCCAATGATAAAATTAAACCGTGGCTTTAATCAACATCGGGCCACTTGGAGAGACAATCCCAGGGTTATGAGTGAGTGGAAAGACGCATGTTGGAGGCTGACTCTTGAAGCTGACTCTTAGGAGAGACAATAGAGATACTCCCACGGAGATGTGAGGAGATAATGGTCTCTTTGTTGTCTCCATTACCAGGACCAAGCTATTACATGAATGGTCCTCTCCTTATCTAATCATCACTCCTCTTTTTTCTTTCTCCCTACTTCTATGTTTATCATTTTCTCTTTGTCCCTCTCTCTCTCACCCCTTAATTATTATTCATCATTATCCCTTCCCTCTCTTTCTTTATATATTTTTGATAATATCTCTTTCATTATCTGCCTCTATCCATCATCATCTGTCTTTCTGTTTGTATTTCTCTTTCTCTCTCTCTGACCAACCACCAGTTTTCTCATATACAGTAATAAAGTACAGTAATAATTCTCAATGGCAGATTCATTTGCCAGCGCTAACGAGAAAAACATTTAGATCCACTTTCGTTACTTCTGGAGACCTGACGTCAGCCCCGGGTTCCTAAGAAGAGCTGACGTGTTCCCAGGGCTCCACCAGAGAGCTGACGTGTTCCCAGGGCTCCACCAGAGAGCTGACGTGTTCCCAGGGCTCCTCCAGAGAGCTGACGTGTTCCCAAGGCTCCTCCAGAGAGCTGACGTGTTCCCAGGGCTCCACCAGAGAGCTGACGTGTTCCCAGGGATCCTCCAGAGAGCTGACGCGTTCCCAGGGCTCCACCAGAGAGCTAAAAACTGTGTTCCGACAAACAGTTGAGAGTGACCCTTCCGACACCATATATAAATAGCCTTCCTTTGACCACCTTAACGACTGCTGTGATCTTCCGTCATTCATCAACACAAAACAATGGTCCCACCCTCCTAACAATGGTCCCACCCTCCTAACAATAGTCCCACCCTCCTAACAATGGTCCCACCCCCCTAACAATAGTCCCACCTTCCTAACAATGGTTCCAATTCTTCTAACAATGGTCCCACCCCCTAACAATAGCCCCACCCTCCTAACAATAGTCTCACCCTCCAAACAATGGTCCCACCCTCCCTAACAATGGTCTCACCTCTTCCTAACAATGGTCCCATTCTTCTAACAATGGTCCCACCCCTCAACAATAGCCTCACCCTCCTAAATAATAGTCCCACCCCTAACAACAATGGTCCCACCCTCCTAACAATGGTCTCACCCCCCAACAATAGTCCCAATCTTCCCAACAATGGTCCCACCCCCCTAACAATGGTCCCAATCCCCCCTAACAATAGTCCCACCTCCTAACAATAGTCCTGACCTCCCAACAATGGTCTCACCCCCAACAATGTATTCCCACCCCTCACAAAGGCTTCCTAAATACCTCTGCCCGTACGGCGCCTTTTACTTCTTTCCAAAGGAATTTTCCCGAGGCGCTGAAAGAGATTTTGTTCACGGTCTTCTACATGGTGTAACAGGCGGCCTCGTAATAAAGGTTCTTTCTTTCTTTCTTTCTTTCTTTCTTTCTTTCTTTCTTTCTTTCTTTTTTCTATCGCTTTCTCTGTCTTTACCATCTCTCTCTCTCTCTCTCTCTCTCTCTCTCTCTCTGTTCCTAACTTAAACCAAACCAAAACTAAACTTAACCAAACAAGGATTTATAATTAACTACAAAAAACAAAAATATAATAATTAGTTAATGTACAATTATATCATCAAGGAGGGAAGAAGAAAATTATAATAACAAGAAATAACAAGAAATGACAATAAACGTGAACGATAAAATAAGCGAAATAGAAACTAATTTGAACTAAATGAAAAGAAAAAGTTATATTCTCAGTAATAAACGAAGGAGAATGAGGCTTCGTTAATAAACTCACTCACAACATGTATTAAACCTGTTCCAACATCTTGACACCATCTGAGAGGAAGATGGTGAGGGAGGTGTGTGAGAGAGAGAGAGAGAGAGAGAGAGAGAGAGAGAGAGAGAGAGAGAGAGAGAGAGAGGGAGGCCTTAGAGTGACAGCGTTCAGCAGAGTGACAGTTCAGCAACAAGTGGGTGGAAGGGACCCCAGACTGTCATCAGATTCTGTGTATGAAAATGTCAGATTGTAGACGATGAGCCACGAGAGATGTACATTAAGAAGGTGTCTGATGAGGCTTAGATGCAAAGAGGTGACAGTAGGGAGTTATGAAACGGGGTGTGTGTGTGTGTGTGTGTGTGTGTGTGTGTGTGTGTTTATATGTGTGTGTGTGTGTGTGTGTGTGTGTGTGTGTGTGTGTGTGTGTGTGTGTGTGTGTGTGTGTGTGTTTATATGTGTGTGTGTGTGTGTGTGTGTTAAGGGGTAATGCTGATATCTTACTTGTTACAGATGTTAAATATTTAAAACCATAGAAACACGAGACTTACACATCCAAATTAAAAAAAATAAAACATTATTTTTCTTTTTAAATCTCGGTGTAGTATCTTCAGTGATCATGTGTAAAAAGCTGTATTTCCTTCTATCTTTCCTTCCTTCATTACCATCTTTTTCTTCCTAACCTTTTCTCTTTTATTTTCGTTTATTTTCTTTGTCACATTTTTCCCCCCTCTACGATTTCTGGATAACAATGGCTTCACCTTTTCTTTACCAGCCTAGAACAGAAGTGTGGATGTCTTGTTATCGCCTAGTTTAATGGGTTGTTAGTCTGTCTGTTAGTCAAAAGGTCAAAAGGTCAAAAGGTCAAAAGGTCAAAAGGTCAAAGGTCAAAAGGTCAAAAGGTCAGTTGACGATGGTGTTTTCTTATATACGTTAAGTTTCATGACAAAATTGATTAACAAATA